AGGTTCAGATACGTGGAGTCGGAGATCGTACGAGAAGACTCCGGCTCCAGCTCCTTCCCGTCTCTTTGAACCATCAGTGTAGATTTTAAGGCTGTTTTTTACCTCTACTTCTGTGGAGCTTGGGTGGGTGAGATATTTCTTCGTAAAAATGTGTTGTAGGGGTGTAAAGTCCGTTACACACTCCAGAATTGGTGAGTAATCCACCATTTCATTCCAGAGATTGGCATTTTTACTATTTCTCTCACCCATTAGAATTCCTGCTGCTCGCAGTCGAGTCATGGTCACCAATGCCACCTCTTGGATGAACAAATGAAGTGGCGTTAGGTTTAACATGTTTTCCATGGCTGCAGTGGGGGTAGTCCGCAGCGCACCTGTAACATACAAACACGCAAGTCTCTGTACTTTATTAAGTGCAGTAGTGGATGTAGACTGTAGGGTCTTTGACCACCATACTACTGCACCATAAGTAAGCATAGGTCGGATTACAGCCGTGTAAATCCAGAGGGCATTTCTGGGTGAGAAACCCCATGTCTTACCTATAGCCCTCCGGCATTGACCGAATGCAACGTACGCTTTTTTTACTCTATTATCTAGGTGGGCTCTCCATGTCATTTTATTGTCAAGTGTGATGCCCAGATAGTTAACTTCTTTTGACAATACCAATGGAGTATCAGCAAGGGATGGCATTCTGGGATTGCCAACCTTCCTCATCCGTGTGAAAAGATTCACAGAGAGTCTTTGTTCGTCACACCAAGTCTCTATCAGTTTGAGAGCTACTTGCATCCTGTCAAACAGCACGTTTATATACTTGCCTTTGACGAGAATGCTTAAATCATCTGCGTCATCAACTGTGATAAAGTTGGCTTCGGCGAGACGGTTCAAGAGGCTATCCAGGGTGAGGTTCCACAAAAGTGGGGATAGTACACCCCCTTGTGGACAGCCTCGAGTAACTCCTCCTTGAAGACTGACATCGCCAGCCCCAAGCTTAACTATCCTATGTTTAAGAGTGTTCTCAATCCAACCACAAAGAGTCGGTGGAACATTATGCTCTAACAAGGCATCGTAAAAGCTTGCATTATCTGCACTCTAGGGTTTACTACTTACTCAGTCTGGATATAAAGTGAAGAATCACCGTGAACAAAATAATTATTTAAATCGTTTGGAAGAAAAATGTTAGGCACTTTGTTATCGATTTTTTTATTTATATTTAGAAGTTTAATCTTTCTCCAAAGAGCCTTTGGATCTTTACTACGTAAGGCGTAATCATAGTATGTCTTCTTTTCAGCCCGCAATTTAAAACCATTGAGGTTCGGAATTCTTCTTCTAATGTAGAAAAATTTACTTACTTAATGTTGGCCAGTTTGATTCCAGACTTATTTATAAAATTTATTGTGCCCCAAATGCATTTCTAAACATTATCTTTCAGTTAATAGTTTTGCCACTGTATTTTCAAACATTTTTGTGCAAATTAATTAATTAATTAACTTTTTGTTTGTTTCAGTTAAATGAATTCATTTGAATTAAGAAAAAAATTCTCCGAGTTTGTTAATCATGGTGGAGTGAGAAAGACAGTGTTGAGTTAGAAGGGGAGAAAAAGAAAAAGGAGAGAGCGATCTCGGAGGAGGAATTCCAACCGCCATCGACCCCAAACGCTGCTGCAGCCATCTTAGGTGAGTTCTTCTCGAACCCTCTCGCCTTTTTTAAAAGCCGTCTTTAAAAACCCGTCGTCGTCCTCTTCGTGGCAGCATCACCAATTAACGCGCTCTCTCCTCCCTCCTTCTTATCCTCCGACTTTTGACATGTTTATTCCCGTAATCATGGACCCGTCCTGTCAACCCTGTTCATTAAGTCCCTAAATGTACGACGTCAAGAAATTTTTATTTTTTCTTGGTGTGGGTTATTTTTAAAACTTTCTTTGTGTCTATGTTGTTAAAAATTAATACTTTGTTTTTGAACCTAAATAAGTACATACACTTCCTTATAGTTTTATTACATTTTCTTAATTGGGTTTCCTTTTTTTCGTTGTGATTCCTTGTAAGGTGCGAATTCTATGGATAGATTCTAGTGCGGATAGAAGTTCTTGAGCCAATTTGTTACTTAACGACATTTAACCATATAAGAAGTGGTTCCCACAGACGCTTCTCCTAATGATCCTCATCGATTAAGGCACTTTCCAATTTTCTACAGGAAAAGTTGAATTCTCTTGCTATATGTAGACATTTTCCCTGTATATATCGAACTTAATTGGAATAGGCCGTATACAGCCGTTTATTAACTTTTAATCATTTTTTTCGTAACAAAATCTTTTTGCATTTCCAGAAATTCTTTTCTGCATATTCTAAGGGATTCAAAAAAGGTTACACCCTGTTGTGAAGCCCATTGTGATATCCATTGTGATATCCTATTGTCATTCTAAACGCGTTGACCCTAAATTTACGGCCCACCCCCTTTTAAGGGTTTTCGGAACTTTTCGTCGAAATCGCATCAAAAAGGAGCAAAAAATAGGCGCGAGTTGGTTCTTCATTTGTATATCACCCTTTTTTTCTTTAAGGGATGTCGTTTTCGTCCTTCAAAGGCACTTTCGCTTTTCGAACGGTTGTAAATCTTTCTGTTTGTTTTATTTGAATGTGTTAGTTGTAAATTTAGGCAAGGGTTTTGTGTGCGAGTTAAATTTAAAATTTTTTTATTGATGTTTTATGTTGGTATGATTTTTTTATGATCTACTAACTGTGTTTTAATGACTCAATTACAATAATTAATGAGTCCTTAATAAAAAAATCATAGCGTTTATGATTTACAGCTAAAAATACAACAAACAAAACGTTTTATTCGAAATTAAAGTAATTATTACAATTACAGGAAACTGTAATAATAAAAACAACGTTGTCTTATTAATCTTATTATTTATTAAATCATATATTTCACTTAAACAAAGAGGAATACACTTCTTTATGATTCCTCTTCTTTATAATTTAGATCCTTTTCTAATTCAATAAAAACTTGAAACGTTGTGCAAAAGATGGCAGCAAGATAATTCTCGGTTTAAAAATTTTTGTTAAAAGTTGTTGGCCCGTTGGAATGCGATCGAGAAATTGTAGTTTTTCAGGATATAAGCGTGAAAATAAGTTTTAAACACGGTGTGTAATTAACCAGTCAATTGACAATGAGTCGTTTAGTTTCTACCGGAAAGAAAACCAAACGATACGCAACCACCAGACGTTAATTGATGTACTTATTCAGTTAAGAAAGAAAAAGAAAGAAACAAGTTTTGTTACGAACCTCGTAACGGAGTTATCTTCTGACTTTACTGTTAACCAACCCATTTAAAAGCAGCTTTAAGAGACGATCACAACAGTAACTGTATTACTTTAGAAATAAAGTGCAATTTCTTTTTTATTTAGACCAGCATCGTTGTTTCAATAATATTTCATTTTGTTTCATTAAATTAAAAATATCGCCAAAAATCTATTTCTTCCATTATTGCTATAAAATATACACAGCATATATAGAAAAAATTGTCTATTTTAACGTGGTGAAATCCGATTAAGAAAATCTTATTTAGATTCTGAGATAAACATTTTTTAATCACAACCATACTTCAGAACAACTATTATTTAAAAAAATCGTATAAAATCGATTTCTAATGCAATCATTTTGAATCTTGGACCATTTATAAAGAGAAGTGTCACCTTTTTAATGGTAAAATCCGTTTTTGAAAATCATTTTTACTTTTTGAGTTATATTTTTTTATAATTAAACAAGTTTTTGTGGATTACCATCTTTTTCAGTTCATATAAAAATTGCTGAAAAATCCATCTTTTCGAATTTGATTATGATATTTTCAGTATATATAAAGAAAATTGTCTATTTTAACGTGGTGAAACCCGTTTTTGAAAATCTCATTTAGATTCTGAGATAAAAACTTTTTAATACGTTAAAACAGCTATTATTTAAAAAAAATCGTCTAAAATCGATTTCTAACGCAACCATTTTAAATTTTTGTCCACTTATAAAGAGAAGAGTCACCTTTTTAATGGTAAAATCCGTTTTTGAAAATCATTTTTACTTTTTGAGTTATACTTTTTTATAATTAAACAAGTTCATGTGGATTGCAATCTTTTTCAGTACATATAAAAATTCGTGAAAAATCCATCTTTTCGAATATGATTATGATATTTTCAGTATATATAAAGAAAATTGTCTATTTTAACGTGGTGAAACCCGTTTTTGAAAATCTCATTTAGATTCTGAGATAAAAACTTTTTAATACGTTAAAACAGCTATTATTTAAAAAAATCGTATAAAATCGATTTCTAATGCAACCATTTTGAATCTTGGACCATTTATAAAGAAAAGAGTCACCTTTTTAATGATAAAATCCGTTTTTGAAAATCATTTTTACTTTTTGAGTTATACTTTTTTATAATTAAACAAGTTCATGTGGATTGCAATCTTTTTCAGTACATATAAAAATTCGTGAAAAATCCATCTTTTCGAATATGATTATGATATTTTCAGTATATATAAAGAAAATTGTCTATTTTAACGTGGTGAAACCCGGTTTTGAAAATCTCATTTAGATTCTGAGATAAAATTTTTTTAATCACAATCATACTTTAACACAATTATTATTTAGAAAAATCGTATAAAATCGATTTCTAACGCAATCATTTTGAATCTTGGACCATTTATAAAGAAAAGTGTCACCTGTTTAATGGTAAAATTGGTTTTTGAAAATCATTTTTACTTTTTGAGTTATACTTTTTTATAATTAAACAAATTCATGTGGATTACAATTTTTTTCTACACATATAAAAATTCGTGAAAATTCAATTTTTTTTAAATATAAGTATGATATTTTCAGTATATATAAAGAAAATTGTCTATTCTAACGTGGTGAAACCCGTTTTTGAAAATCTCAATTGGGTTCTGAGATAAAAATGTTTTAATCACAACCATACTTAAACACAACTATTATTTAAAAAAAATCGTATAAAATCGATTTCTAATGCAATCATTTTGGATCTTGGTCCACTTATAAAGAGAAGAATCACCTTTTTAATGATAAAATCCGTTTTTGAAAATCATTTTTACTTTTTGAGTTATAATTTTTTATAATTAAGCAAGTTCATGTGGATTACAATTTTTTTCTACACATATAAAAATTCGTGAAAATTCCATTTTTTTTAATATAAGTATGATATTTTCAGTATATATAAAGAAAATTGTCTATTTTGACGTGGTGAAATCCAATTTTGAAAATCTCATTTAGATTCTGAGATAAAAATTTTTTAATCACAAAAATACATTGACATATCAACAATTCTTAAAAGCATCGTATCTACTTTATTAATTGGAATTAATAAATGATTTTTGGTTTAAATTAAAGCTGAAAGTCTCTATTTCATCATGACGGCTGTAATTTGTGTTATTTTCAAAGGTATGTTATAATAGGTCCTTATGTAATCGAATAAAATCTTTTCTGGAAAACCGACAAGGTTATGTCACAATCTTCTATTGGTTAATTACTTCAAGTTTATAATTATATTAATGTTATTTAAAAATTTTAGTATTTGTAACTTTTTTTTAAATCCCTGATGATGATACAGTTATCGAAACCGGTGCATTGTAATTAAAATGCGTGTTCAAAAAGTTTGTTGGTCAAAAAGAAATATGATTCTTATAGGAGTATAAGGAGTTAATATTTTTTAAAAATTATTAATAACAATTTATAGGATGGCGTTATATTGTGAACAATTTACGTTTCGTCTCGTTTTGTTACATCACCATCACCGTGACTAAACCAGTCCTTTTCTTTTCACCTCCTCTTCCTCCTCAATCTCCGCCTCGTGGTCCTCGTCTTAGTCCTTGTAGCGTTTACCACGTGCACTCAAAACCATGACTAAATGGCATCGCTCGATTACATTCGCGATGTGTATAAAAAAACGTATTCATGGTTTTTCTTCGAAGTCCGTTTTCATTACGCAACAACATTTCAAGTATGCTTTTTTCCTTGGTTTTAAATTCAAAGAATTTTTTTGAATAGCGTAGATATCAACCTACAGATTTGTTGGGGTTCAAAATACTCGGTGTGTTTGACAATTCGTTCAAAGGTGGCGCTAAAATAGCTTTTCATAAAAAGTACTCCTAATTTATTAATTAATTTGTTTTTAATAAATAAATAAAGATTAAAAAAAAAAAGGAATAAGTTTAATAAAAGTTTTTTTTATTGATGTTGAAAGGAAAACAAAGTGTTAATTGATTCTTAACTTAGCGTTAATTGATGGTGATTTGTATTTGTATAGGGTTAGATCTTTTTTATTATTGTTTTCGAAAATAGTCTTGTTAGTTTATTTATAAATAAGGGACCAACGGCAATAAAGGGTTAAGGACAATTTGTTAAGTGCTTATAAACACCTCGGTTTACTGTTGATCGATCATAAAGCAGTAACTTTATTGTTTTATGGTTGGGCCCAGGTGCCGGTTATCTCGATACGAAGCGAACAGAGTAAAAGCCTTCCTCTAACGGAAAAGATGACTTTTCTTCCCTCATTTTCCTCCCTTAACCAATTTGATACGATATTGTTAAGAGATAATTGATTCACAATCACTTAGTGTAGAAAAAACAATATCTTTTACTGAATCTCTCAGTGTTTTATGTTTTATTTTT